GGGGATTGTGTACCAATGAGGGAGTTTTTCTTTTGCGTTTCAAGGAGAGGAGCAAATGGGGGGGAGGGGGGAGGGGTTTGTGCGGGGAGAAGGGTACAACAATGAATGAATGGAATCCCAAAATCTCTGTAGATGTTCATTGAAATGAAAAATAAACAACCTAAATTAAAAAAAAAAGCTAGATGAAATATTTTGGGATCAGAATAAGGACTGTAGTGGTAAAAGAGAGATATAAGGAATGATTAGGGTATTACACTAGGTTGAGTAGTGTTCCTTCAGAGATATATAAGGAATGATTAGGGTATTACACTAGGTTGAGTAGTGTTCCTTCAGAATTCATTTTTTTCTTGGAACTTCAGAATTTTACTTTATTTAAAAACTGGATCACTGCTATATTTTCATTCACTTATTTATTTCCTATATTGTGCAGTTCTGGTGGACTAGTGGTAAGGAGTTGTGCTGCCAATCCCAAGGCAGACCATTTGAATCCACCAGCTGCTCTGTGCAAGAAAAATGGGACATGTCCTCCCATGCAATTGACAGCCTCTGAAAATCCACTAAAGGGTCAACTCTGGGTCAGTTCTGACTCAATGGTACTTAACAACAATTCAACATATTGTGAGGTCCTGCTGAAATAGTGTGGGTCCTTAATCTGAGATGAGTGTCCCTGTAGAAAGAGAAGAGACAACACAGCTACACAAGAGAGGATGTCGTGTGACAACAGAGGCAGAGATAGGAGTGATACCAAAGAATGCCAAGGATTGTTAGCAGCACTAGAAGCTAAAAGAAAAATATGCAACAGATTCTCCATTAGAGTCTTCAGAAAAAGTATGGCTTCTAAACTACAGAACCAGAAGAGAACACATCTCCATTGTTTTAAACCACCCAATTTGTGCTCGCTCATTTGTTATAACAGCCATAAAAAGCAAGCAAGCAAACAAACAAAAAAACCCCAAAACCCTGATAAAGGGATTTTTTAAAAAATGTATGTATAATGCCTCAAACAAGATTTAATTATTGAGTAGATATGAGGTAAAAGGATATATATTTGGAAAGTCACTATTGTTAAGGTTCAATTATCATTTGAATGCATTCTTTTACAGTTGGGATATGAATCAAAAGAACACACTGCATGGTACTTACTGAACTTTCAATAATCCTTAACCACCTACCTGTTTTTAAATTTTATAATGATAGGATGCTTCAGAATTAATCAACTATGTTTTAAATGTTATGAAACAATTTCTTTTACCAAAGTTTCAGTACTTACTCATTGCTCACTTCATTCAGTTCAGATGCCAAATTGCTTTGCTTTTCCCAAACAGCACTGATTATTTGTAATATAACCTGGGTCAGGTTCATACTTATCTCATCACACTTTGAAATATCAGATACTTTAGAAACAATAATCTTTGTTTCTTCATCATCCAAAGGTGGGGATTCATTTATCAAATTTAAAATGTGTTCTGCAACATCATTTGCATTCTCTGTGTGGAAAAAAAAAAACAAACCTAAAACCTGTATTCCTTAGTTTAGTTTGGGTCATGCTGGTTTGATTCTTTCCCTTTAAAAAAGGAAACACAGTGAAATGGAAACACATCCCAAGCTACCAGAGTTTATAGAAGTAAAGTGCTAAACCTCAATTTCTACAATAGATGTAGTTTCGGAGCATAGCACAGAATTCAAGATTTTTTTATTCATTAAATCCTCTTTAAAATGCACTAAGGAAATCCTTTTGTCACTGAAGAATTATCTTGTAATTAGATTCTAATTAAAGTAAAACTTTGGAGTATTGGACTAAGTTAAATAGATTCCCATCAGCAGCAAGCACCTAGTCTGTTTTTGTGATCAAGAACAGATTGTTTTTCTGTCAGTATTCAGCAATCCACATTTAAAAACAAAACCAAAACAAACATGGACCTGATAGCGGTAGAAAGTAACTTAATTTTTATTTTTTAAGAGAACAAAGACAAAATTTTACTCAATTTTACTCAATTTCACTCAACATTTTACTCTTCAAATTTTAATACAAAAATTTTCAAACATACACAAACTAGAGAGTATAATGAATCTCCCTGCACTATCAGCCACCTTAAACAAATACAAATACATTACTAATCTTATTCTATCTACCTTTTAACCTATTTTCCTCTTGAAGTAAGCCTCAGATATCACATCATTATATCCATTCCTTAATTGTCTCATAAGTGCCTTTTTATAGTTGATTCGTTTGAATCATCACCAACTTTTAAAGAGAAGAACTTTGCTAAATAATTATAACACAAACTAGATTTTAGCTCAATACATCCTTATCAAATGAGTGCCCTTAAGAAACAAGCGCCCTCCTGGCTGAAAGCACTCCCAGACAAGTCCACAGTACAATGGGCAATAATTGAAAATCACACTCTATTGAGAAAAATTCCAAAGAGAGATCACATTCATAACACATGTAACCCATGTTATATGACAAATAATCAAGGATGGTTTTTGGAAAACAATTCTGCATCTGAGCTGAAATTCTCAATTCTCTTTGGCCCTGTTACTTTTGCTTCCCAAATCCATGTCTCCCAGTTTTAGCATCTTCCACATTTAGCAATGTCTCTCCAAATCTCTTTCTTCCACCCCATGCTTCCCAAAACTTTACCATCAACACAGCCTGTGCGGGCTGGTTTGTTGGGTTTCCCCCCCTCCTTTCACCCTCACTTTCTTACTCTAGTCTTTCTTTTTTCAATTTTTCTTTCTCCTGAAAATAATTCTGTGACTTAAATTGGTAAAGATCATTCTCCCTGAGGAGATGGGATAGGGGAAGTGATGGCAACCTGGAGTAAGATAGTAATTACTTCTACATTAATATTTATATCACTGTTACATCTATCATATGATCAGTTAAAGCAATTGGGGTGGAGGGAACAAACCAGTAAGACTAGGGATGTGATAGTGAGCTTTCTCCCAGATCTTGCTGCTGCTCTTATTAAATTGTTCAGACTCTGTTGTAAATAGGATAGCCAGAGCTGCCTACCTGGGGTCATAATTCTTTGGGTTTTGGTGGTGTGACTTCACTTCACTCAATCCCTGCTGTGGCAGAATGAAAGTAAGCAACAGGCCAATGGGAGACTAACTGTATTGTGGAAAGTAATTATATGCTTTTCCTGTGGGATTGTACAATTCTTAAGCAAAAGTCAGGACAAATAACTTTCACTGTTTAAAAATTCTAAGTCTCCGGCAAAAGCAATAAAAGAAATGCTCTTCAATTAATTGTAGAACAAATAAAATTCTCTTGCTTGAAATACTGCTACCATTAATCTGCCACTAATTGCAACAACAAACACAATAATAATATTTGTTATTTATTGAAAGATTTATCTCACTCAGTATTCTACTTGTCTATTGCTACATAACAAATCACCTCGCTTAGAGACAGCTTACTGTTGTCACTCATGGTTCTGTGGGTTGACCAGGCTCAACTGGGACGTTCTCATGATGATCTCTTGCATACTTATAGTCAGAAAACAACTGGGGATTAAACTGTCTGAAAGCTAAACTGAGCTGGATGTCCAAGATGGGTCCCACACATGGCAGTTGCAGTCACTACACAATGCTGCCATGTGGCTTGAGCTCAGTGATGTTCTGGATCTGGAGTCGGCCTATACCAGTTTGTGAGAAGTATTGACTAAATTTCCAGGAATGTTATGATCTGAAGCCAAAGCAAAGGGAAGGAATCAGGAAATTAAGAAGCTTTCAAAGGCAGCTCGGGAAGACAAAGCAAAGTATTATAACAACATGTGCAAAGAGCTGGAGTTGGAGAATCAAAAGGGCTGAACTTGCTCAGCATTTCTTAAGCTAAGCTGAAGGAACTGAAGAACAAATTTAAGACTCGAGCTACACTGCCTTAAAGATACTATGGGCAGAATATTAAACAATCCAGGATACATCAAAAGAAGACAGAATCACTGTACCAAAAAGGATTTGCTGACACAGAAGAATTTCGTGAAACAGCATATGACCAAGAAGTAACAGTGATGGAGGAAGTTCAAGCTGCTCAGAAGGAACTGGCAAAAAACAAGGCTCCAGGAATTGATGGCATACCAATTGACATATTTCAATAAACAGATGCAGCTCTGGACATGCTCACCAGGCTGTGCCAAGAAAATTGGAGGATAACTATCTGGCCAACTGACTGGAAGAGATTCATATTTGTTCTCATTCCAAAAAAAGGGTGACCCAACAGAGTGTGGAAATTATCGAAAAATATCATTGATAGCATATGTAAACAAAATATTGCTGAAGATTATACAAAAACAACTGGAACAGTACAGTGACAGAGAACTAACAGAAATATAGGCCATGTTTAGAAGAGGCCATGGCACCAGGGACATTATCACCAATGTCAGCCAGATCCTGGCTGAAAGCTAAGAGTACCAGAAGAATGTCTGTCTGTACTTCATTGACTATGCAAAGGCATTTGACTGTGTGGATCACAATAAATTGTGGCTAACCTTGAGGAGAACAAGAATCCCAGAACACTTGATTGTAGTCATGCAAAACCTAAAGTTGACCAGGAGGCAGTCATCAGAAGAGAGCAAAGAGATAATACATGGTTCAAAATCAGGAAAGGTGTATGCCAGGGATGTGTCCTATCTCCATACCTTTTCAATCTATATGAGGAACAATTCATCCGGGAGGCGAGGGTCTTTGAGGATTGGAGGAAGACTCTTCAACAACCTGTGCTATGCAAAGGACACAAGCTGCTTGCTGAAATTGAGGAGGACCTGAAGCAAAGCATTTGCTGCAAAAAGTCAGGGACCACAGTTTTCATTATGGATGGAAACTAAACATTAAGAAGACAAAGATTCTCATACTGGGCCAATTGGCAGCACCATGATGGATGGAGAAGAGATTTAAGGTTGTTAACAGTTTCAGCTTACTCGGCTCCACAATCAATATTCTTAGCACCAGCTGTCAAGAAATCAAAAGATGAGTTGCTTTGGGGAAAGCTGCTGTCAGGGACTTCTCAAATTCTGAAGAACAATGATGTCAGTCTGGAGACTAAGGTATGCCTGATTCAGGCCATGGTCTTCAGTTACTTGCATAAGAGAGCTGGACAATTAATAAGAATGACAGAAGAAGAACTGATGTCTTTGAGTTGTGGTGGTGGAGAAGAGTATTGAAAAATATCATAGACCACTAAGAGAACAAACAGGTTTATCCTAGAAAGGGTGAAACCAGGCTGCTCCTTGGAGTCAAGGATTTTTTAAGGCCTTTCTCACATACTTTGGGCACGTGGCCAAGAGGGTCTAGTCCTTGGAGAAGGACATCATATTTGGAAGAGTAGAGGGACAACTGGGGTAACAGGAATAGGTGTGTCAGAGTCAGTGAGACAGGCTCAGGATAGGACAGATTTCAGGGCTATTGAACATTGGGTAGCTATGAGTCACAGGTAACTTGATGGAACATAACAACAAATAAATAGTATTAAAAACAGTGGTGAAATTAAAAACTCATAACTTTCTGATTGTCTTACTGTATTTTACTAATCTCCACTCACAATCATTTCTGTCTCTTTTATTTGTGTGGTGCATCTCTTCATGTGTTGTGATGACACATTGTTAGCGTCATCACATTGATGCAGGAATGTTCATTTACACAATGAAAATTGACAAACGTTATGAAATCAGTTCTTTAAAAAAAATTAGAGCTAGTTGTCAAACATTTTCCAGTAAACCACTGTTTGTGCTTCTCACAGCATGGCTTCTGTGTTTTGAGAGAAAGCATCCCAAGAAAAAAGACAGTAGAAGGCTTGAGTGTTCATAAACGTTTTGGTCTCATAATTAGGACCACATTACTCTGCCAAATTCTAAGCCCTGGTGGCCTAGTTTGTAGTGAATTGCACCAAAAAAATCTGAGCTGCTTTGGCAGTTTGAGTCCATCAGTTACTCTGAGGAAGAAAGATGACCAATCTTCTCCCTTGCAACTTACAGCCTTGCTTCCAAGTTTTTTAGTTTTATTTTGGGGATTTTTTTTTTTCATTTTTGAGGTTTATTTTTGGTTGGGTGGTTTTTTTGGGGTTATTTTTGGGGGGAGGGTTAGTTTTTGAAGCAGTCACAAGCTAGGTCCTAACTCGTATTAAGTGGGACAGAAACAATGGTGGCTATTTTGGAGAGAAAACATAGTGAGGCATTATACATATTTTTTTAGTTTAATCATCACAATAACTATATGTGATTGGTATATCATCCCTTATTTTACAGATTAAGAAATTAAGACACAGGAAGGTTCTATGCTAATCCAGGCCTGTTTAACCATAAACTTTGAACTCTTATCTTTTTCTATGATAGTATCTTTGCCTTTGTCCCTTTCCGCCACAGTATTGGTATGTGAACAAACTGTACTTGGCAGCTCTTTTCCCTGACATCTTGAGAATTAGGTTATTATCTCTCAGTTACTTATTATTCTTTCCTGGTGATGGGATGAACACAGGAAGCATTTT